CCTAAGGCGGCCGACGCCGCGGCCGTGGGTGGTTCGCGCGCCGCTTCTTCCCTCCTCGAGCCTTCTCTTCCTCGCCTCGCCGTTCGCCGCTCCTATGGCCGGTGCGCTTCGCGCGCTTGTTCAGCCGTCTCGCGAGGAATTTCTAAAAATCAATATACGCGTACGAGGAGACGAGAGAAGGGGCCGCGAAGCACAAAAAAAAAGAAAGGAAAAACATATTCGATATCCCGTTCGACCCGACGCTCTTCTCCTTTCTCTCCCTCTCCCTTTTTTCCTGGATGCGTCTCCCCGGCTTTCCTTTCGTTTTTTCTTCTTTTTTTTCCATTATCCTCCTACGAAGCGAATTGCGCGCAATCTATCCCTCTTCTTCCCTTCCTCTCTCTTGTTCGTTTTTTCGAGCAGATGATAGAGAAGCGACGAAGAGACCGATCGGTTTCAAGGAAGCGAACTCGTCTCGGAGGAGATCGCGCGAGCCGGGCTCGCGGTGGAAGCGCGGGAGAGTTTATTTTCTCAGAAGCAGCGCCGCGCGCGCGCGCTTGGTATAGTCTCTGCCGCCGTTAGCCTCCCGAATAAATTTCATTCAGAATCATCCGCTCGCACGCGAGAGTCCGAGAGTCTTCCCTCCTTCGCCTCCTACACCTTCCCGTCCCTCGCGCGCATCGCATACGCGATGCACACGCCGGCTGGCAATTAAACGGGTTAACGACATTTCGGCTTGTGTGTTCGACCGAACAATGTAGTTCGCGTCTCGGCCCTCGATCTAATTGGCAAGAATCGCGTCTCGTGAGAAGACCGGGCCCGATCGCGCGAAAATCGGTCCGCGCATTAACTGGATGACAATACATCCCGCTTTCTTTTCATTTGTCACGTGTCGCGATACCAATCTATCCCTGAATGTACGCTCGCGTCTTTTCGCAGTACAGTTATTTAGTGACATGGCTGTACAAGTTGCTTTTGAGGCTCACTCTAGCAGAAGTGGCTAGTTAAAAACCCTCAAGAGCATAAGCGGATAATGTGACGTTGTTCCCCGCGATTAATTTCAAGTGGACCACAAGCGGGAATTTAATTGCGATCCAAGGCTGAGTGTATCGCGACGAAAAACGTTGAAAATTTCTCTGCGCTTCAGAGAAACTTCAGGGAAGCGGTTCTCAATCAATTTTAATCGCGTTAGTCACTTTCGCTTTAATTTTGGGTGACTCCAATTTTGTCACTCTAGACGTCGCTTCGCTAATGAGAGACCTGGCGTCTCTCGTTAGATTTGATTATGATCTAGAAACGGAATCCCGCCAAAGTTAACCGATCAAGGCTGTCGAGAGCAATCGGGACCGGGAGAGATATCGCAACCGGATTCTGTTCGATTGTTCGATTCGCGTACGCTTTCACCTTTCTACTTCGGGCTACGATGCTCTTTTTGCAGACAAACACGCGTTTAGAAGCGATACACCGTTCGCGAGAGTGCTATGAAAACGCGCGATTCTGAAAACGATTCGCTCGGGTTTTCGAGAGTCAATGAATTTTGCGTCCATCGTGATATTTTTGTTTTCTCGCTAAATAAAATGTAATGGTAAAAATTTGTTTTGATAAGATCTCGATGCTAAATCAAATTATTGCATCAAAATAAAACGCATCAGTCCCGTCAGTCATCATCCCAGTCAGTCCAATAAAATTATATAAAACCGCTTTAAATAAATTGTTACAATGAATAGTAAGCTCCACTATTTTTTGATTAATTGTTATATTATTGCTTGAAAAAAAAAAATAATAAACTTTTATATATAGTGATGGTTCAAATATACCTCTTAAAAATCCTCCTCGCACAAGTAATTCGCAGAATGTTATCTAACAAAAGACTGCAATATACGAAAGGTATTTCAAAACTGTAAATTCGCTCGATTCCCCAAAGAGAGTTAAGAAAAATTCTATTTTGATATATCTTCCTTCGCTTCTTAGTAAAAAGGGAAAATATTGTGCATCTTCTTTCTTATCAAAGGAGCTGGCTTAGAAGGATGAAAGGATGGCGAAATAAACATGGATGACGCGGTTTCCACGGATCGCAGCATAGAAGCCGCGATCGAACGAGAATGAAAGGGAAATTATCTGTTTCATCCCTTGACATACTTTCCAAAACTTTCCGTTTATCTTGTAAGAAACGTCAGACCAAATTTAACGATTGCTTTCTGGAAATGCTGTGAAATTAAAAACGAGCGAGTCGCGCGATTTCCGAAAAACGTTCTCTTTCTTCGAAAGTGCATTCTGGATATTTTTTTTTTTTTTTGGTATGATACGTCGATTAAATAATGAAGATTTCGACGTTACAGCACGCGAAAACAAATCTCTACATTTATTTGTGAGCGCTAGAAGTGCGTTTTCGCGTACCTGTAACATCGAAAAATCAACTAGGCGATATGCACTGGCTTCATTTCTCACTTTCGAGACCTCGGTCGAGAATCGCGGGGATGGTATATCTTACGGTCGATCGTTAGCACAGATGCGGCGGGATTGAGTTATGGGCGCCTCGCACCGCACTCTCACAGCCGTAAACTCACGTCGACATGATTAAAGATACGGCACTACTTAGCAAAGAGCGCATATTCTAAGGAGGCTTTCATTCCGCAAGGGAGTGCCGATAATGAAGTATACGTGCAGTTGGGAGCATATAATATATGGTAATTTAACGCATATATAATATATACATCATACAATACAGCAGCACCCTAACCACAAGTACTCGCCCGTGAGTTTATATGAG